GGGGGGGGGCGCGTCCCCGGTGTGCCGGCGGTAACCGGGCTCCCTGCCCGTCTTTTCCTTCCCGCAGAGCGAAGAGGTGGGGCGGCAGCTGGTGGAACTGGGCTTCCGCGGCTCCGGGAACGTGCTGCGGCGGGAGGAGTTCGAGGCCCGGGCGGCAGCGGCCGCGGGGCTGACGGCGGCGGCCCCCCAGAAGTAAGTGCCCGCCCGGGGCCCTCGGGCGCACCTCGCTAGGCACCTGCCCTGCAGCTTGCTGGAGCGGGGACCGTGTCTGCACCACCGCCTGGCAGCCTCCGCTGATTTCCTTTCCCCGGTCAAACAGGTGTTGTAACACCAGTGACCCGTCCTCAAAAGCTGAGCCCTGGCTGTTGGGGCTGCTTCATGACTTGGGGTGTGTTTGTGTGTGTGTCTGTGGGCGCTGTTCTTGTCTCCCTTCCCCTAGGCTCAAATACCAGCGTAAGAGAAATGAGGCAATGGTGTTTCTTAGGTGGTAGATGTGCTAGAGACACCTAAATACTGCTACTCGGTTACAAAACAATGCACTTCAATACCTCGATCGTCCTTTCAAAGTTGCAGCCAAGAAATGTCTGTTTTCTAACACTTCACGCTTCTGGGATTGATGGTTACAAGACAGGGAAGGTACTGATGGAACAGGCATGGCATATGAGAAGGAAAAATATCCTTTCTTTGCTGATCAGCTGTAAGGCTTTAAGGACTGAGTTCATTGAGTAGGGTAGTCTAGAGTTCCTTTCCTGTCTACAGCAGTGGGTGAACTCGTCTTGGCGCCTTGTGAGTGTTCCCCTGGGTCAGGGAGATTGGGATTGCTGTTGGAGCGCTCCCTTTACATAGGGTAGCTGAAGCAAGTCACGTAAAGGTGTATAACTAGCACTTGGGAAGATATTTAAATGGCTTAGGCTGGATGAAGGTCTCTGGATCCTGTTACAAGGCGTCTGCTCTTTTATGTGGAGTATTTTAATTCCATTTCCAAAAGTCTTTGTGGGGAGAGCTGATTTACTCTCCGAAAGCCTCTGACAAAGGAAGTTCAAGCAGTGCATATGCAATTTCTTTTTTTTTAGGCTTTTGTTTTGTTTTGACTTCTGTCATCTCATACTTGTTACAGCGTGTATTGCTACAGCATGTGTTTTCCACGAAAACTCATGTTGCGCTGGGAACTCAGTGCTTTGCAGTAAAGCTTTGTCATATCTTGTGCCTGGTACCCCCTGCCTTTTTATTTTTGCACCTTCTCCGCTCTGTTTAACCAGCCTGCAAATCTTAAAAAATATTTCGCTGTTTACTATTCTTTGCTTCTTGAGAAAAAATAAATGAACAACCCCTGTAAATAGTGAACTTTTTTTGGGTGCCTTCCTACAAGAAGCTAAATAACATTACTACAATACTTATTTTGTCAACGTGGTTGGTGAATAGTAGAGCCGCTGAGCAGTCTTATTCTCCTGTGATGCTTTTCCTTTTTCGTGCTATAGTGAAATGAGCATTTAATAATTTAACAGCATGCATCAAATGCCTTTTGTAGCATTTGTGGGCCAAGAAGGTGTGCTGTGTCGTTAAGCTATTGCCATACTTCGTGCACAATCCTGTATCAAACTTCTATTCCAGGGAGAAGGTGACTTTTTTTTTTATTTAAAGGATTAAGTGTTCATGTCACTGTATGGAGAAATTAATTTTGGAAAACCAAAGGCTTAATTATTTGAATGAAGACAAAAAGGATTGGGTTTTTTCGTACTTGTTTAGACCTGTAACATTCTGTGGCTTATGCCCAGTCGTACTCTGCAGCCAGATGAAGCTGATGGTGACAGTGCTGATGACATCCAGAGAGTAAGAACTGAACTCAAATGGCTGACCGGTTGGTCTTGTAATGTTCTTCTACAGTATGTTTCTAAAGCAGTGATCATTATTAATTACTGTTCTAGTGATTCCGTGTGTGGAGATGAGTGAAAATGAAGTAAAGGCACAGCTCTTGGTGCAGTTGTGTCTTTCCTTGATGTCTTGAGTGGGTGTTTTGTCCTACTGTCCTTTTTTGTTTGGTTATTCTTTGTTTAGTTTCCCATTAGTTTGTAGGTGGGGAGATGTCAGGGTTGACTCACAGGGTTAAGTGGCCTATTTTAACAGTGTTTGGTTGAGCAGATTATCCAAAAGTCTGCGTCAGGAGTTGTGGCTGTCAGGGCTTCTGAACTGTCTGCTTGCACAAATATATCTGTGGTTTTCTCTGAGCAGAAGAAAAAAATTCCTCGAGTTGAACTTGGCTGCACAGGTCTCAGCAACTGTCACTGTTAATTGTGACTGCACGGATTATTTTTGCATGTGAGAGCAAACTCCTTCGGCATGTGTCTCCAGGATTTCTGCTTTGATGCTCCTCTCCATCCCCTACCTACTGCCATGACACTGCTGTCTCCTACAAAGAGGTTGACAGGGCTATTTCCCATTGTTGTTGTTTAACCCCAGCTAGCAACTAAGCACCATGCAGCTGCTCACTCACTCCCCCCCCACCCACCCAGTGGGATGGGGGAGAAAATCGGGAAAAGAAGTAAAACTCCTGGGTTGAGATAAGAACGGTTTAATAGAACAGAAAGGAAGAAACTAATAATGATAATGATAACACTAATAAAATGACAACAGTAGTAATAAGAGGATTGGAATGTACAAATGATACGCAGTGCAATTTCTCACCACCCGCCGACCGACACCCAGCTAGTCCCTGAGCTGCGATTCCCCGCCCCCACTTCCCAGTTCCTATACTAAATGGGATGTCACATGGTATGGAATACCCCTTTGGCCTGTTTGGGTCAGCTGCCCTGGCTGTGTCCTGTGCCAACTTCTTGTGCCCCTCCAGCTCTCTCGCTGGCTGAGCATGAGAAGCTGAAAAATCCTTGACTTGAGTCTAAACACTACTTAGCAACAACTGAAAACATGAGTGTTATCAACATGCTTCGCATACTGAACTCAAAACATAGCACTGTACCAGCTACTAGGAAGACAGTTAACTCTATCCCAGCTGAAAGCAGGACACCCATTCAGAATAATCTTGTGCATGAAAGAAAAACAGTGTGAGTTTTTCAAGTCTAAGATGGGATATATGGCTCGGGAGGTTCATACAATGAGAGGTTATGTGGATCAAAACACAGAGGAGGTAGCTCTTAAGTAACTTTCTGTGTTCTCTTTGGGAAACAAACTTGTGTTTAATGGTGTTGGAAATACCTGCAAGTGGTCGATACTCGTCGTAGCAATGGGGTTCCCACAGCCAGAGTGCTTCCCGTGTGCCTTGCTGATATAACCACACTAAGCCATAAGAAACAGTGTACGCCACTGGTATTGCACAAGAATAGCTTCAAGCTCCAGTTGCTAAGAAGTACTAAAATAAGCCAACAGCCATAATAGATATGGCCTCTGCTGCACTTCAGCTCCATGGTGTGCCACTTGCTATTATGCATAGCTGCTGTGTTTGCTGTAGGCTTCCATAATTCCCATTTTATCTTTAGGGTTAGTCTGTCAGCGTTCAGAAACATTTAATTTACATAGGCTGTATTAGTTAGCAAGCTTTTACTGCTGTGCCTTTTACGGCATCACAGAACAATCACAGAAACCTGTAATTTATTGGAGATGTAAAGCCTGATGCAAAGGTTAGTAACCGGGAAGTGTCCTCTTAGCCGCAACTTCGAAGCACGGTTCCTGTGGAGTAGCAACAAATCAGCAAGACAGAACTGAGTAGATGATTTAGAGCAGTAGTAGAAGGTGAGCACAAAGAAGGTTGTCACTCTTACGATGCTTTTCTGTTTTTGTAGTTGTTGCTTAAACGAAATGGTTAGGGTTTGCTCAAGAACCAAGTAGTCTTCTTCATGTGTACGAAGGCACGCTTGACGAATATTTGAAAAATTAGCTTCAGAGCAGGTACATATTACACCATACTGCAAAGCTGCTTCTGATCAGAGGCGGGGATATTTTCCCTCAAATGTCTAGAAAGGTAGTGGGTTGTTCCTCTGAATCCTTACCTCTTTTGCCTTCTGAATGCCTCTTCCTTAGTTAAATAGCATTATCAGTTAAGGCATGTACTTGGTAGGATTGGTACGACTTCCTTAACAAATGGTAAAAATAAGTTGAGTACATGTTGCAGAAAATGAATTTGGGTGGGCTGGAGGCAGTGCATTTATTTCCTGTCTTTGTGAAGCAGTCTTAAACTTTTCTGGTCTTAGTGTCACATGTGAAGTCAAGTGAAAATTGACAGGGGAAAGTAAATACAAGTAAGATTAGTTCCTTTAAAATACTTTGTGCTTTTCCACAAAAAAGGGGCACCATCAGAGACTTGGATTTGGGCTTTTTTTTTTTGGTAAGAACAAAGAAACAGGGTAATAAAAAACAGTGAACCGCAGACTTAGAGAGGCAGATAGAAGCACGACATGCCATCTGTTCTTTGCGACAAGGATGTATGTGTTTCTTTGGGATCTGAAATGAAGGGAGTTGAGCCCTGGGTTGTCTTTTATTTTTTTTCACTGAAGTAAATTGGAAATAAAGAATTTTTTTTTTCTTTTTATATTAGGTCATCTTTAAATGAGTGCAAGATCGTTTATTTTTTCTGTTGTCCAGAATGACACAGGTGGAAAAATCTCAAGTTCCTCAAAAGTGTCCTGTAACTTGCATAGCATTTATGTTTAAGAAGAGCTGTGTTTTTTCAGCTGAGCATGCACAGAATAAATAAAACTCTGGTTGACATCAGGACAGGAAACAACTTACTGTCAGTTGTCTCAACTGGAAATACAGTATTGCCTTATGATGCTTTCAGCTCCTCTTCCGATGGAACATTCTGAGGCAGCAGCATTTCATAACTGCGTTTGTATTTCAAAGCCTGGGTCCAGGCTGCGTGGACTTCCTGACATCTATATGGCACCTATACTAGTGTTTTACTGTGGAATTACTGTGGCCTCTGCTTACCAGGGAACTACACTACTTTCACATGGATTTTAAGTGACTTCTGAATGGCACATGGGTATTCCCTACCCACAAGATTTAGTACTAAGCAACACTGATAAATCTGTAAATCGCTTCCATTTCAACTCCTGCTCTACTGATGACCATGTTGAACAGGTGTCTTTGCTACTGCTGATGTCACTGGGGTGGGTTCTGTAGCTACGAACTGTCTCTGCCCCTTGCAGAGAGAATTGCTAAAGCCTGCAGTCAAAGGAGCA